ATATATATATATATATAACTTTCCTTATAATTTGAGGAAGTAAATTTTCATTTTTATTGAATTTTTTTAAATAACTATCAAATATAAAAAAACAAGAATTTCTTAAAGATTTTTATAGAAATAAAAATATTTTGCATAACAATAATGTCTCTAAGTATTTAATAATTGATACCAACATAGGGCCCTCGAATTTTTATTCGCCTATTGAGTGGATACTTAACAGAGCTTAACGAAATTTGATGGTCACGACGGATATACGATATGATCAGAGGGTTAGCAAAACAGAAATGAAAATGCCTTCGCAATCGATGCTAGGCAGCACGTTGGCATTATATTATAGCAGAAAAGCAAGTAGTTCGACGCAAATTATGGAGCTAAGCGATAGTACTGTAATACGATGATAGTTATATATTACATGTTAATATATGGCGCAGTTGTAATCCAAAGTTTTTGCGTTTTAATTTTTTGTTATTGAAATAGGGGTTGGGGGCTTGTGAAATACAATCACTTGGGTCACAATTGCTAGGCTGACATGTCGAAATATAAAAATTACAAATCTACATTTTGTATTAATCACGGTGGTCCGTTTCAATGCAAGATCAGTGTAAGGAACCATAAAACTAGCGATAAACATATTTAACCATGAAGCGTTGAACCAAGCAACTACCAACTGAAGCTGATTTATTGCAAAGCTACCTTCATTTTAGCCAAACCCCAACGCAAGCCAGAGACATTCACAAAGTGGGCACATTCTTATTCAGCTTCTTCGTTTCTCGGTTCTCTAAATTGGGTTCACTACCCACGAGTATGTACCATTCTCTTTACCAATGATATTTTCCAAGGATTTCCGCCTAATTCTTCAAACACTACTATCAAGTTCTTTGTTGGCTTTAGCCATGACCTTGGAATGTGATACCTGCGAAATTCCAAACACATAACGGGTTAATATGTCTATTTTTCCATCTTTGGCTTCTTATATAAAATACTAATATTTAGTAGCATCGGATCGGGAACACTACACAAAAGAAGGTCGTGGCATTATCATTACTCATATATAGATTGTAATGATAAAGCCAGATGTCCCTCCGCGCACTATTCTTTGACTCACTCAGCACGTGACATATCAATGTCAGACTCCACATGTTCAACGGCTCTAAATAGTAGTAACATGTTTCCTAAAGACATGATAAAGTAAGTTAAAACTAAAAGCAGTACCATCGTTGAGTGGGTTGTCCACAACCAAGTTGGCACTTTACAGGACGGAAGGTCCCAGAGTAAGGGCAAGAGTTACAGTCACCCTTTGCATAAGCCATCCAATATCTTCCTATGCTCTGTTCATTGATCCATACTTGACCCTTACCCATGCTTTCCAAGTCCAAAGCCAGTGGTTCGTTTCCCCCGGGTGCGTCAAAATAAGCCTGCACGTTCCAAGTTATTAGCAATCTTTCTAGTTGAAAACTAAAAGTATATCTTATTATATAATGTTTCTTCTCTCTCACCTTGTACCATTTCAATTGCGACCGGCTTTGAGAAGCTAGTGACTCTTGGACCCAATCAACAGACGAGACCCCATTGGGAGACACCAAATTTATAGCCTCTCCTCTTAGACCAACCTATTGGAGATCATATTGTAATTAGAAAACACTTAATGGCCCCATTAATTCGAACTAGCATGAATACATATGTTAGATTAGTGTGCGTATCAATCATACCTTGTATGACCACTTGTTCCACGTCAAATCTTTCTGTCCGTGGTCAAGACCATGGAGCAAAACTGGACCAGTGATCCCTGTGTCCCATGTTTCATAATGCCGACCAACATTCTTCCAATGAAAAAAAAAAAAAAAAAAAAAAGAAAAAAAAAAAAAAGAAAACA